GTCGAAGTACTCGGCCACGCCTACCTCAAGGATTTCGAATGTATGTGGCATGTTTCGCTGAAAAAGTGCGAAGGGTGAAGAAGTTTCAAGACTAGGGAATTGCAACTGCCTTTGCACCTCCACTCATAGATGAACGCCTCAGTCCGTGATCTCTGACTCTGGGTACAGCATAGCTGGGAGAATCACATTGGGTGGTCTTATTGGTCGCTAGGGAGGAGGATCGCATTTGGTCGGTGGGGGTATACCTGGCTTTTAGAGAAATTTCATCTAGCTCCGAAAGAATTTTCTTGATTTGTTGGTTTTTCGAGATTTCTGGTACTTGATTAGATTGATCGGTGAAACCTATTCCACACTCCTGCGCCCACCCCCCCCCCCCCCCTAAGTTGCTGGATAGTTCGCGAGTTCGGAGAATTGAAAAGAATGTCCGAAGGACAGGGAAGGGGGGTCGTACTAGAACAGGAATTTTGCTGCCTCAGATGATGTTGATTTTTCGAAAAATGCATGTGCTTTCTCTTATAGTTATGGATGTGTAACAAAAATTATGGAGCATCTTTCCTCAATGTGTCTTATGTTAGAGTTTGATGCCCTCTGTGGAGGCCCTGGACCATCTTATCATGAAGTATTTTCTCAGTCAAGCTCTGACGTATGTAAAAGTGTCAAACACTACCTCGTGTTTCATGCTGAGTGCAAACGTCACTACTCGCTCGAGTCCAAAGGCCGCGAGAACACTGCCACTTCCGCGACCTCTTGTAAATCTCGGGATATGAACCATGCGTTCTCTTCTTTCAGATAACATTCGGGAGATGTTGGTAGGGTTCAACTCAAGCTTTCATTTATATAAGAGCTTATTGAGAGCAATGGATGCTGTTCTAATTGTTCATAGAATTTAGAAAGTGATTTCAAAGGCGAGGAGTATTCATGAGGGACTTGAGAGCTCAGACATTCACAGAGCAATAGGGCCATCCGGACCTTCGAAAAAAAATTCAGACTTTTCCAGTACCTTCGGTATTGCAAAGAAGTCTGAATTTTCTTTCGTCCAGATTTCGAGTCCATTGGTGCCCGCCCAGACCTACACCACTATTCGCTTGAATGTTGTTCTTCGGCACCAGAATGACGCTGAATGGTTAGCAACACTGAGCGCCAGCAGGCTTCGCCTCAAGCAACTGAGCAATCCGTCTTTTCAAAAG